CAAAGCTTATCGTAAATTGTATTAACTTTAGAGTTACTATTATGTAATAAATGGTGATGAAAACATAGAAAATTGTATAAATAAAAGGAGTATAATATTTTTATAAAACTATTATTTTTAAATATTATTGTATTTATCACTATTATTAATACAAAGTGAAAATATTATTTTTGAAGTGATTCAAATAATTTGGACAAAGAAGGTATTTTATATTAACTTTTAGTTTGAAGAATTTAACCTGGATTATATTAGTGGTGAAAAACTAAAAGGAAGAAGAAGAAGATTTAATTAAACAGTAAATTTAAAAAATTAATTAACATTATAATAAAAAAATGAAAGACTTTTCACTTTATAATTTTTTTAATAATTAATTATAAAAATTATGGTCCAACCTTCCGACATAAATTTTATTTATAAAATTTATTAATTAAATATTATTATTATTATTATTATTATTATTATTATTTATTGAAAAATTATTTCCTAAGTTTTTAAAAAACGGTTTAATTATATTATAAAATATATTTAAAAATACAAGTCTAATGTATAATAACTAAAAACATAAATACACAAACACTTTGAATATTTATCTATTTTGATTTTAAATAAATAATATTTTAAGACCTTTTTGATAAACTTTCCATATAATAATTATTAATTATATCCAAAATTTATTTTAAAATACAAATCAAATACTTTTGAAGTAATAACTAAAAACATGAATATATGGATAACTATAAACATAAATATCTATTTTGATTTTAAATAAATAATATTTTATACTATTTTGTTAAATTTTCTATATAATTATTATTAATTAATTAATAATAAAAAGGCAATAAATTGAAAGGGCGGTTGTGAAAGATTGAGAAAGAGAAAGAGAACCGGCACTAAGAAGTAAGAAAGGGGTTTATTTGAATTACGAAAAAACCGGATATATACCAAACAAAAACACTCAAACCCTAGTTACTACCCTCGTTCTTACTCTCCACCCGCCGCCGCCACTACAACAACCGTTACTTCTTCAACTCCCTTTATACACTCACTCACGCACTTCTCAGATCTTTCATTCTTTTCTTTCTCTAAACATATCTATCTATTCTATTAAGCGTTGTCGTTTGATCCCCTTAACTTATCATTCCTATCATGGTTTTCAACGAGAGGCCAACTAAGAAGATGAAAAGAAGGGTCACCGCCGATCTTTATGATTTTCTCACTTTCCCTTCCGCCGGCGACACCTCCGACGCTGTACCTTTTCGTAAACGTGTTCATCGTTTTCTCTCTGATCACGCTCGTGTCACTTTTCCTCCCTCTCTTTTCCCTTCTCTGATGACGTGGCAGATCTTGTTTCGTGTTGGGGATATTGTTGATGGCTCTGATCTTTCGTCTGGTGTGGTTACTCTTGACATTGTTGAAGAGGATGTTACTTGTTCTCGTAGTACTGTTTATTGTGACCAGTGCCGAGTTGTTGGTGAGTCGAATAGTCGAGTCAGAATCTAAATTCTACATTGTTTCATATTTAATTATTTATTTTTTATTATTATATTAGTCTATCCACTGGGCTCCACCGGATATATGTTTTTTTTTCTAGAATTTTATTTTGTAGCCTTTTATTATTATTATTATTATTATTATTATTATTATTATTATTATTATTATTATTATTATTATTATTATTATTATTATTATTATTACAAAAAGGTAAAGATAAAAGTCTGAAGAAGTATTATTATTACACAAAATCTAAAGACAAGAGTAGAAATATTATTATTATTATTATTATTATTATTATGGTGTGGGATCATGTGATGTGGTTGGTGGATATGGAATTAGGGATAAAGTTGAATTCTGATACCTCTGAATTTTTTTGTTGGATAAAAACAAAGGATGGAGTGGTCATCCTGTATGTCAAAAGCGATTTCATTTCATAATAAGGTCTGGTAGTGATGCAGTCGAAGCATACCAAAGATCTTGTTCAAAATGTGGAGATCTTCTCCAATTATCTGAAGCAAGGTAACAATTTGAATTGTTTCTCCTAATCTTCGCTCTGCTTGATTTGGATGTAACCTTGAAGGATTGAAACTGTAATTTGACATCGTTACAGGTGTAAGTCATGTGATCTTGACATCTCTGTTGATGATCTGGAGGATTGGGTGTATCTTCAAATTGAAGATAACACACATCTTCTACATGGAGTTGTGCATTCTAATGGTTATGGTCACTTGCTTACCCTTAACGGAAGAGAAGGTGGCTCAATGCTTCTCTCCGGATCTGATTTAATAGGTTTCTGGGATAGGCTCTGTGCTGCGATTTCTGTTAGGTTTGTAATTTGAATCCTTCAATTTTCTTATAGTTTGCTTTATGTTAGTGTTTTCCTTTGTAATGAATTGTGCTGAATAATTTTTTAGGAAGGTTAGTGTGATGGACTTGTCCAAGAAATTTGGTCTGGATTATCGTTTGCTTCATGCAATCACCGAAGGGCATTCATGGTATGGCAATTGGGGTTATGAATTTGGAACTGGCTGCTATGGTCTTACCAAAGAAGCATACAAAAAGGCCGTTGATACCTTGTCCAACTTGCCCTTGTCCTCATTTTCGTTCCAGGGTCGAGGACCGCGAAACCGTGTGCAGACTGTTATTTCACTTTACCAGTCTTTTGCAGAAACCGAACTTCTAACAATTAAAGATCTCTTCTCCTTTATGGTGAAATTGGTTCATAAATTTCGTAATCCAAGAAGTGCAAAGACTTCACTACATGAATTTAACTATCCCTGTCATACACTATGTGCGTGGAAGGGAAATGATGTTGAAGATGTGCAACAAGCTTTGATCAAGGTATTGCTGGCATCAAGTGCATGTAATGTGGCCAAATGGGTTACAAGGCGAACTCTTAGGGGGGCCATATGTATGCGAGTTGGGTCCCCAGAGCTGATAGACTATAGTCTTAAGCACTTGCCAGGGAAATTAGCTGCAAATGGAATGGTTGTTTATTCGCGATGCAATCCGAAATCTTGTGCTGTGGAATTCAGGTAATTGTTATGATGAGCCTTTTTTCTGTCTAAAGTTTATTCTGAAACCCAACTAATATTTATTTTAACCTTGACAGATTGGGACCTTTTACTAATGGATTTACCTCGAATTCAAGCTATCCTTCAGAAGAGCAAGTGATATCTGATTTGACATTTTTATTTAGAACAATTATTCACGCTGAAAAAAAGTTCAGCTACAGACCCAAAAGTATGAGGAAAACGATTGCCGATTCAGCTAGAACTCTTCTTGACTGTAAGCAGTTCATGAAGAATTATGAATCTGATCACGTGAACACAGAATCTCCTTCAAATATGAAGCTCTGGTGTCACGTGGAGCTTTCCGACCAGCCTAAAGAGGACCATCCAACACCACCTCCAGAACTAATTGTGTTGCCTATAGATGCTACTGTTGATGACCTGATGAGTGAAGTCACCAGTGCTTTTCAAGAGGTATATGCAATGTACAAGAGGTTTCAAGCTGAGGAACTTCTAGGATTTGGTAAAATCAACAATTTATACACTCTGAAATTCCTCTTTGGAGAAAGTGTTGCAAGTGTTCGAATTCTAGGAAAATGTCCTACCAAACATGGCCTAAGCCGATTCCGGAAGGAACGAGGAACAGAAGAGTGGAAAGTTGATTGCACTTGTGGTGCTAAGGATGATGATGGAGAAAAAATGTTAGCATGTGATACCTGTGGTGTCTGGCAGCATACCAGATGTGCGGGAATTGGTAGTTCTGCGCCTTCCAAATTTGTATGTAGGGGATGTGTAAACTCTTACCGTGTGAAAACCAAAAAATACCCAGCATCTTCTAGCAAGGCTTGTAAATTGAAAACATCTTGCAGAGATGAAGCAGCTGCAGCGGTCACTTATAATATAAATGTAAATTTTGGTGTACGTTAGTTTGTATGTAAAATTGTTGTAAATTTTGGCTGAGTTTTATGTTATGCCAAATAAGTGTAGTCCTGTTTGAACATGTGTTTTTGAGAGCTTACTCTCAAGAGGGTTAAAGCTTGTTATATATTGAGCACAATGAAAACAAAGTTGTTTGTTTTCAAAATTTTGGCTGTATAAATATTTATTTACTAATGCAGTGCAAGAAGTAAAATGAAAATGAAATTGACTTGAAATTTGATCAATGAAATTGGCTTTCAATTCATCTGTGAGCAACTCAGCCCTAAAAAAATACTCCCCCAGCCCTAATAAAAACCAAACTTAAAATAATTTGGAGTAAAAAGATACCCCCTCAGCCCTAATAAAAACCATAAAGAACCAAACTTAAAATAATTTGGAGTAAGATTTTTTTTTTGTATTTTCATTGTAATAAATCAGTTTTTGGAAGTCAACACAAAGTAAGCATCTTGTCAAAACATCACAAACTGCATAGTTTGTAGGCGGCAGTGTTCTATAATAAAAGGCTAGGTGGCTGCTGCACAAAATCTAAACTATTGGCAAATAGAAGGCATAACAAGTCAGAAACACAGTCCTAAAAACAGAAACGAGCAGCGAAAATATGAAACCGTGTAGGAAGGAGAGGACCTGATATAAAAAAATGCAAATTGCAATTCTAAAAACAGAAACCAGTAGCAGAATTGAAGCTTTAATAAGTGGGTCTGATAAAAAATAGAAATGGGTAAAGTCTTAGCCAAGGTGTATGACCCGCCTTGAAGCTTCGTCTGAATCGCATCACAAAAAAGCTTGAAGAAGCGAATAAAAAAGACAGCAACTGTATTGGGAGATTCATTCGGATCAAGGCCTCTATTGATATATGATAACCTTTGAAAAGAGGAACAATGCTCATGTAGCAAAGAATCTTTTATTTCTTTTAAAATATGAATATTAAGCTACTTTTTGTTGTGTATTGACACCAAATCAAAGATTGAATATGTCGATCAAGAAGATGGTTTTGAGGATATTGGGGGTAAAGGAGGACCCTTTTGGACTTTGACTACGTGCTTCACTGCTTCCTAACTAATTCTCAAGTGAGCCACAAAAAAAGAGAGCAAAATCCAGCTCTTGCGGCAGGGGTCTAATTGTTGGAAAAAGACAGACTGACAGAGGAAACTGCTGGTGGGAAGGAATGAAGTGGTCATGCCAAAACCCAAAGAGAAAGACTACAAGCTCTATACATGTAAAGACAGAACCCTCTTTAAATAAGAAAGGTTTGTTGATATGCTCATCCCTGAGGAACATCTAGAAGACAAAAGGGGGGTGGTTGGAAATAAGATGAACCAAAGTCTACTGCCCAAAACAATGAAAACCATCAGCTGGGATTGTAAAGGTTTGACGGATCAATTCAGGTTTGTTTTTGGGCTGCACTAGCAGTGGAAAAGAGCAAGCATCCCAAAGTGTTTGGCTCTTTGTCAATAGAGAACTTGAATATACCCATCATTTCCTTTTCTTTGAACCATATATCTAGTTCATGTCAAGATAAAAGTGAGTGGATCTAACTACTTTTTCTTTGGAGCTTATGGACACCCAAAAGAGAGGTAAAATAGAAGGGAGACTTGGAACCTCATAAAAAAGATTTCCCTCAGCTTAGGCAGTAGTTGGGTTTGTTTTGGAGAATGACATGTTATCAAGTTCGAACAAAGAGGGGGGACCCTCAAGTCCAGCTCAATTTCACCAAGGTGCCAAACAGCGGACGAGCTTAGGCGGTCCTCACGTAATTGTATACACTACTGTGCACTAACTGCACAGTAGATTCCCCTATCCTAACCAACTTCAACTGTTCCCTAGAATCAAGGAACTAATCCCTAGATTCTAGGAACTGCCTGAAAAAAGTAGTTAGCCTTGTGAGTCTATAAATAGACTCACTCATTGCACTAAACACAAAATATAAGAATACAAATTATAAGAAATCAGAGTTGAGATTTCTCTGCACAAATTAATGGAGAATTAATTTTCTAACATGGTATCTGTAGAAACACCCCAAGGTCCTAAGGCCTAAGGCCTAAGGCCCATCATCTACTCTTCAGCGCAAAAACTCATCTTCTACATAGCAGAATTATGCCTTTTCTGCAATTTCTGAGAAACTTATTCAGAAAACTACCTGTTATGGTGTCAATAGTTGGAATCTGTGATCAAAGCTCACAAACTTCATCAGTTTCTTCTAAATCCTCACATTCAAGAGAAATTGACTTCAATTGAAAATGCAAACGACAATCACATCTCATCTGAACTTGAAGCTTGGGAACAACAAGATCAGCTTCTACTCGCGTGCCACGCAAGTAGGTTGCAATCCCTCATTTCTCTCGACATGCTTCGCCGTGTCATTGGCTGCAAAAATTCATGGACGCTGTGGGATAAAATCCATGCCTACTTTCAGCAGCACACCCCCCAAACAGAACTTCAAATATCACTCTTTAGTTTGTAGTCGAGACACTGTAGCTGTGCTGCCATTGAAACCATGCAAGCAGGTACTAAAACATGGGTGTGGAGATTCCCACATCAGATTTATCCTATTGTAATGAATTTGTTTCCTACACGGTTTCATATTTTCGCTGCTCGTTTCTGTTTCCCACATCAGATTTATCCTATGTAGGGAGAGAGGTTCTGTCTTGATTCCACGTAGGAGAGGGATATCCAACATAGTACTTAAAAGCTGTAACACAAATCACACTAGTAGAGGGATTATCGAGATTGCTTGGGGAGAATATTATGGACTATTTAATACCTCAAGAACTAAATTGGCAGTTTACTCTGATAATACATGATCAGGTGGCATAACTAGAAGAAAAAGCAATACTTCTTAAACATAGGTCAAACTAACCTTCAATCTCAGCAAGTTTGTCACTAATGTGCTTTGATGGAGTGCATTCAGTCTCATATTGCTGGTTCATTTGGGATGAGGATGATTCACTCTTTGAAGGATACTCTTAAAAAATGAATTTATCCATGGAAAAAGATGTAGCATTTTAATCAACTATAGTTGCCATTACCAAAAACAAATGTGAAATACATATCCACCCTTTGTGATGAGTTTTTCTAGCCACAGGTACAAGTACAACTACATGAGATTGTGGAAGACTGGCCAGAAATAAACAGACCAAAAGGCTCTCTCAAAAGAATTACCTTCCAACATCCCATGTTTTAGAGGGAAAATAAACTATAAGCCATACAACAAAAAGTAAAGAGCATAAGACCATGCCTTTGTTTGAGATTTAGGAAGGAGAGAGGGGGAGAGGGATTATGGGGGTGAAAGGGAGGAGGAAAGGAGGATCACCCCCTACCTTTTATGAGTTCGTATTCCTTCAAATCTACCAATTTGGAGGAACTGAAAAGATCAATTGGGAGAGTAATTTAGAGGGTTTCAAAAAATTCTCTAAATCCTTTCCCTCTCGGTCTCTGTATAATACTCAACATAACAAACACAATAGTACTCATAACCTTTCTTTTTCCTCCTCCAAAAGAACTCCCCCGAATCAGGACGGCTTCACTCCATTTTATTCCTCCTTTCCCTTCCAAAGCCCATCCCTCCCCCCTTCCCTTCTAACTCTCAAACAAAGCTCAAGAGAATGTCAGGTTTCTTTTCACGTAAAACAGGGCATTCATGATCAATACACACAGGCAGCATTAGGATGTATCCAACATTACAAAGGACAGTGTCACGGACCATAATAGATTAATGATTTTAGGGAGAATAACTTTGAAAAAAATGAATTCTTTAACAAACTCACTTTCAGCCTTTTGAGACAATGACAAGAGTATTACAGCAAGAAATAGTGTAGTTAAAAGTAGTTTCATACATTGCAGATCATGAAAATATGTTTCTATCAAACATGTATTCTCAGTAGAAAGGGAAGATATGCCATCAACAAATTGACCGAGAATGAAATGCACATACACACCCTAGATTCATAATATGCAATGTCAGGCATGGGTCTTGATTACAAAGAAATGACGGCATATGGAAATGTTCAGGCAGAAGGAGTATTTTCTGAGATTTCAAATCAATCTCTGTAACCTCAGGGGAAGCAACAAATATCCAGATATAAAACATAAGGGGGACAGATATTTTTCAATGAAAAAGGGACATGGAAAACCACCCATATGAAAAGGAGACAGCTAATCATAACACCCCCAGCCAAAAACAGAAACAATCCCAGGTTCAAAATAGAAATCCAATATCAATTTAGATATACTCTGTCTTTTGTTGAAACGCTTCTTCTTTTATTGAAACTTACATTTCATATACTCCGTCTAACTTCTGTTAAAGCGAAAACCATACATTTCTAAAATTTGTCTCCAAATCTTCAACCTCTCATATAAATTCTCTTTGACTCTCCAAGCAAAACTAAACCATTTACAAAAAGCATGCATCTTGGTGCTAGCTCTTACATGTGTTCCTTGAGTACATCGAAAATTAAGGTAAAAAGGTAGGGGTTTAGGGTTGAACCTTGATGCAAACCTATTGTAATGGGGAAATCGTTTGTCTCTCCACCTTGTGTCTGCACACTAGTCGATACCCCTTCATACATTTTTTGAGATAGCTCGAATATGTGCAATCCTAACCCATTTCTTCTCTAGGACTTTCCACAAAATCTCTCTAAGCACTCTATCATACGCCTTCTTCAGATCAATAAAAATTAAGTGCAAGTCTTGTTGGTCCATCCGATACTTCTCTATCACACATCGTAATAGATAGATCGTTTCCATGATCGACCTTTCAGGCATAAAATCAAATTGACTCTCACTGACTTGAGTCACTTTTCTTAACCTTCGTTCAATCAATCACTCTTTCCCATTACTTCATGGTAAGACTCATAAGTTTAATCCCCCTATAATTTGCACAATTTTGTATACCCCCCTAGTTTTTATAGATTTGAACTAGAGTGCTTCTTTCTCCGGTCATTTGGCATTTGCTTTGACCTCAGGATTTGATTAAAATGTCCAGTAAGCCACTCAATACCTTTCTCCAAGAATTTTCCACACTTCAATAGATATATTGTCTGCCCCAACCGCCCTACTGTTACTCATCTTTTTCAACGCTTCCTTTACCTCTTGTTTCTGAATCCGACGGTAGTAATCATAGTTTCAACTTTCGACACTCTTCTCTAATGTTGAGCCTCTTCTCTAATTGTAGAAATACGTCTTCCATCTATCCTTAATATCTTTTTCCTGAACTAAGACTTTTCTCTCTTCATCGTTAACACACTTCACTTGATCCAAATCTCGTCTTTCTTTCTCTTCCCTTAACAAGCCTATATATAGATTTTTCTCTCTCCTTGATTCCTGTTAGAATTAATTATGATTGTAGATATTCTAGTGATTGATAGTATTCCTAGACTAAACAACTTCTGAAGTTAGTGCTTATTCATTAACTAGGTTAGTGCATACTCATTAAGCTTCAATGTATTTATTGTAACACTAGTATAAATACAAGTAGTGCGATCTCCCTTAAGACGCACAAAATTTATAGAATTCTATATGGTATCAGAGTCGGGGGCGGAGATAAAGACAAGTGTCGGTGCAATAGGGAAAATTAAGACCTCTGAAGAGAAGGATTGTATAGACCTTGAGACTCATGCCCTACTCCAATCGTCGTCTCAGTACTCCGATCCTGCACAAGAACACAACCATTTGTCGATGGGTCTATACAGTTAAAAGTGGGCCTGATGGAAAGATTGACCGTTTAAAAGCTCGTCTCATAGCGAAAGGATACACACAGATCTTTGACCTTGATTACGGGGACACCTTCTCTCCAGTTGCCAAGATCGCATTTGTCTGTCTTTTTCTTGCCTTAGTTGCTATTCACCAATGGCCGCTCCATCAACTAGACATTAAAAATGCTTTTCTACATGGTGAATTACAGGAGGAGGTGTACATGGCCCAACCACCAGGATTCAATGTTAGTGGTGCTTCTCACCTTGTCTGTCGGCTTCGTCGATCTCTTTATGACTTGAAGCAGTCTCCTCGTGCTTGGTTTGGCAGGTTTAGCACTGTGCTCCAAGAGTATGGCATGAGTAGATGTGAAGCTGATTACTCTGTCTTCTTTTTGCATTCTTCACCAACCACTTGCCTCTACCTGTTGGTCTATATGGATAACATCATCATCACTGGCAATGATAGGGATGACATTCAGTGGTTAAAATAACATTTGTCTCTACACTTCCAAACTAAAGATTTGGGGTCACTAGAATATTTTTTGGAGATTGAAGTTGCTCAATCCAAGAGTGGTGTGGCTATTACTCAATGAAAATATGTTCTTGATATACTTGAGGAAACTGGCTTGCTTGATTGCTGACCTAGTGACACTCCTATGGATCCTAACATCAAGCTACTACCAGGTCAGGGGGAGCCACTGAAAGATCTTGGTAGATATCAACGTCTAGTTGGCAAACTTAATTACCTTACAGTGCGTAGACCAGACATTACATTTGCTGTCAATGTGGTTAGTCAATTTCTAAATGCTCCATGTGTTGACCATTGGAACGCTGTGATTCACATTCTTAATTATATAAAGAGTGCGCCGGGTAAAGGATTACTTTATGAAAACAAGGGTAACACCCAAGTCGTGGGTTATTCTGATGCTGATTGGACAGGATCACCGTCTGATAGAAGGTCCACTTCATGGTCTTGTATTCTCATTGGAGGAAATTTGATCTCATGGCGGAGCAAGAAACAGAACATAGTTGCACGGTCTAGTGCAGAAGTAGAATATTGTGCTATGGCAGCAACAACATGTGAACTTACATGGCTAAAAGAATTACTCCAACAACTCAAATTAGGAGACATCAAGGCAATGAAGCTAATTTGTGACAACCAAGCTGCACTCCATATCGCTTCTAATCCGTTTTTTCATGAAAGAGCTAAGCACATAGAGATCGACTGCCACTTTGTAAGAGATAAGGTTCTTTCAGGAGAAATCATAACTCATTTTATTGGTTCAAATGATCAATTGGCTGACATATTTACTAAATCCCTTAGAGGACCTCGGGTTGAATCTATTTGTAACAAGCTTGGTGCATATAACATGTATGCTCCAGCTTGAGGAGGAGATTTAAAATTAATTATGATAGTAGATATTCTAGTGATTGATAGTATTCCTAGACTAAACAATTTCCTAGGTTAGTGTTTATTCATTAACTAGGTTAGTGCTTATTCATTAAGCTTCAATGTATTTATTGTAACACTAGTATAAATACAAGTAGTGTGATCTCCTTTAAGACACACATAATTTACAGAATTCTATAATTCCTAAAGATTGTTAAAATCCGTCAAAAGCTTGGGTTCTTGCTTCATTCACCGCCTTCTTGGTCTCATTTTTAGCTTTCTTGTATTTTTGTCAAGTTTTGACATTTTTACACTTAAATCATCTTTTAAGCAGTCCCTTTTCACTCTAACTTTACTCTAAACACTTTCATTCCACCACCATGATTCTTTACCCCCAGGTTCAAAACCACCTCTTGAGTCTCCTAACATCTCTTTAGCCACTTTTCTAATCTCTTGTGCCATCTTATTTCACATATCATTTGCATTTCCTTGAGGTTGTCCAAACCCTCCCCCCAAGATCTTGTGTTAGAAACTTCCTTAGTTTTCAGCCTTCAAATGCCACCAATTGATCCGTGGCGCTCCCATGTGACTTCTTCTATTCGCTCTCCCCTTGATTCTTACATCATAACTAATACTCTATGTTGGATAGTTAAGCTCTCTCTCAGAATAACTTTGCATTCCAAGCAAATCTTTCTATCTGACTTCCTAATAAAAAAGAAATCTATCTGAGAACATGTCATCCCACTTTTATATGTGATAAGATTCTCATCTCCTTTCCTAAACCAAGTATTTGCTATAGTAAGATCCAAAACCAACGAAAACTGCAAGATGGATTTACCCTCCGCATACACCTCTCTTAGACCATACCCCATGCATGCCCTCAAAACCTATAGCCACGCTTCCTACATGTCCATTTAGATCCCCTCCTAGAAAAGCTTTTTTCCTTGGGGTATCTTGCAGTAAGCCTTCTAAATTCTCCTAAAATTTTACCTTAAGATGTTCTGCTAACCCAACCTGAGGTTCATAAGCACTAATAACATTAAAGGTATCGTGCTCCACTATAAATTCAAAGTTATGATTCAATCTACTACTCTTTTTACATTTACAATATCTTTTTGCTAATCCATACACATGAAAAAGAATCTTCTTAGTAAGTTGGGGAGGCATGAGGAAGAGGTATTGTCTCATGAGTTCAGATGGATCAACCCAAGCCGCATCTACAAAACATGGGGGACAACCCAAGATATCTAGGATGGTAGCAAACCCCAAAATGTGAACACAGGTGTCAGTTTTCAAGAGGCAATCCATAAAAGGAAAGGAGCATGAAGAGGCGATGAGAGGCAATCCATAAAATGAAAGGAGCGTGAAGAAGGTGATGTGTTGCCCAAGTTCCTTTTTCTTTTCAGCTACAAAATTATGGCAAGAGGGGGAGGAGATCATTGAAATCATTAAGTACTTCATAAACTTTACTAGATAAGCAAAAATATGATCATCTATCTTCTTTAAAGCAATGATATTTCATTAGACTACGACAAAATCTGCAGACATTGAATATCATTATTGTAAAGTACCTTCATCTGACTCTAAATTAATTCGTCGATGAGGATAGAAGATTAGTTTGATGTCAGGATTAAGTGTTGACTTAATGACACTGCACAATTGAGCATCAATCGTCCTCCAATTTGGTCAGTCAACCATCAATTCAACCTTTCTAGAGAGATCATTCTTATACCCTTGACCAGTAACCCATAATTGAATGTCAGAAGCCAACAATCATAATTGAAACCATCCAATTTTTAGTAGAGGGTAAAAGTAATATAGTTGGTAAAAATGGAACCATCACCCTTAGAGGAACCCCTTGAATCACAACCAGCCATGATTGGTAAACAAACGACTAAAAGCATATGCAAAACAGTGATGGAAAAACGGTGATAAGGAGTAACAACACGATAACTCTTTTTTCCGCTTTTTTAATCGACGAACACTACCTACACCATGGACAATGTTGCGGGTGAATAGTACGCGCTGCACTGAACAATAATGTGAATATTACTCTTTTAAAAAAGGAATACATTAGAAGAGAAGGGGGCAAACTTGAGGGTCAACCGAGCAAGCACGGTTTAGAGTTGCCTTTTAATAAACTTCTCATAACACGTTGAAAGAGAGAAAACGATAATCATATGATGAAAAGTGCGTTTCAACTACACAATAGGGTCTCTTTAATAAATGCAAATAATGACATGAATGATTACAATATATTATACTCCTAATTACATGATAGCGAACCTTTATGTACATGATTCTATTTTATTTTTAACATGAAGCAAATCTCATGTTAAGTTTCCCAACCTTGTAAAAACAAAAAATAAGTGTGCCCATGAAATTAACAGGATTGAAAAAGGCCTTACTGTGCCAACTACCCCATAACCACTTAACAAGACAACTCCAATCAAATCATATAGAGAATAACACACACAATCATGTAATAAGAAGTGCACGCACCTCCATTGATCTCTTCATCAGTGGCGCCCACCCACTATAGATTATATATGGACTTGGATTTCTTGAAGTCAAGAGTTGACTCATTCACTACATCAATCAAGGTTATTATTATCCAGATCCTACCAAGAATAGAGAGAGGGGTTATATATAATGAATCATCGAAGTTTTTTTGGGTCAGAAATCCCATTATATGGCTGAGTGAACTCTGCTAAGTATTTTAGTATCATTGGGCCAAACATTACTCAGAACTTATACACCCTTCTTATGTCAATTATTTTTATATTTTTCACCAAATTTAATTCTTGTTGGGCTAAGCAACGCTAACTCTTTTGTTTTCTTTGTATCCCTTTTGTATAAGCTGCACCACTGTACTTCATTTTCTACATATTTTTTTCTTCTCCCCCTCTCAGCAAGGCAACATCCTTCTTTCAACCATCTTCTCTTTTTCTTCCCCATTTCTCTCTTGTCTCATGCATCGTTCCCGGGGCTGTGGAGAAAATGTGACGGTGATGTAGATCTGCAAGGCCGCACAAGTAACAGATCTGGAACCATTCCAGTTTGACTGCGTCACGTATGGCGATTCAAGGAGCAAGAAGTCTGGCCACGTGACAGCCGTGGAACCACAGTGGTCAGGCTGCATTAGGGGAATTTAGTTGTGCAACCCCGGCCTTGAAAATGCCATTTTTGGAATCACCTGAGATAGACCTTAATCACAATCTCAAGGGATAATCATCTATCACGTGATCCCACCAAGATCGTCTCAAAAGACAATTTTGCGTGTGATATGACTCGCTTAGTAGGAGCAAGAACGTTAGATCTTCCAATCTTACTATTTGATTCGCAATCTAATTAATAGTGATTAATAAATTGGAACAGTTTGATGTTGATCGAATGACTTGCATTCCACCTTCAGGTAATCAAATTTAGACAATTCAGAAAGTGAACCATTCAATTTTTGTTAAATGGTTCCAATTTATTGACTGCAATAAATACATAATATTGACTATAGGGCATCTGTAGTCATTATGTCTATACTTGCAATTTCTGTTGTCAAAAAGAATTCTTACATTCTTTTCCACTTACCTTTTCAGGTTTCAGTGGGTACAACAAAAAACAATGCAACGAAGCTGAAAAAAATAATTTGCATCAAAAGCAACAAGACATGTACGAGAAAAAGCAATTAATGTTCAACAAAATCATCTACATGAGAAATATGAAATAAAAAAACAAGCATCCTAAAACAAATTATCTAAAAAATACTTTTCCAAGTAGATTGTCAATGGGTGTAGAAAATAATAAAAGTGATTAAGGCTGTTTAGTTTCGTGCCAGATTGTGCAGATTACTTGCCATACTAAGAGTGACAAAATCTTTCAAGTAAAAGAAAGTGTGAAAATGCAACAAATAGAGTATAACCTTAATTGTTGTACATCTATTTAAAAGCCTAATATCAAAAACCTTGTTGGCACATATTATTAGGTTTTTAGACCAAATTCAACACCACAAAATCAGCTTTATGGCATTTAATTAGACCCAAAATCTAATATCAAATCTTTTGAAATCGGCATCTATGGTCAACTGTCCAGCTTTTAATACTCGAACATAATTGATTTGGCTTCTTAAAGTGGTAATCTTAGTTCATTAAAAGCCAAACAGCTAACCATATATCACAATTGCAATAACCAACTTCGATATCGCGCTAGATTTTAGGACTAACTAAATCCCAACGAATTAGGTCAAAAACTTAATAAGTTTGCCAGCTTAAACTACATCATTTGTGTAACAGAAATACCTATAAATCTATGTGATAGATTCTCATTTAGAAAACAAAGGGATCATTAAAAGCATTACCGCATCGGTAAAATCTCTCGGTCGTGTTTATTAGTGTTTAAGAATTGTTATCTCTATATGGATGAAATGATAATTGATAAAGCAGTAATTAAGCAAAATTCAGATCTACATTCAAACGAAACAGATAAACGAAATTGAAGATTGATGCAAAACAGATAAAAAGCAATTGAAGATTGACGCAAATCAGATAGATTGATGTGTAATATGATAAACCCTAGATCTGTTAAACCTACCAAAATTCTAAATTCAAATTCTAGAATACGAAATTGATGAAGACGAAAGAAACAAAACAGATTAAACAGAGAGAGAAGAGAAGAATGCTTAGCTTGATGGATTGAAGGAAATTCACGGAAGCGTGCGATCGGAGAAGGGATGAAAACGGTGATGTTGATTGCTCCGACGAAACTGTTGTTTGTTGTTGACGTAGAGTCACCAATCGGTTATTCAGTGGCTACAAGCTGCGCATAGTGAATTTTGTTGTGTTAAGTTATACTAACTCCTTTTTAAGTTACATAATTCTCTCCTTTTTAATTTAAAACTCTACTCTAATGTACACTAATTGTAAACATTGTAAAAGTCAATATTTATATCTTTCAAAATTGTCATTTAATACTTGAATTACATCAAACAAACTAGTATTAAATTAAGCTTTTTATCATATTCTTTATTGACTCGAAAAATTAATTCATCTGATTTACTAAAATAAAATTAATATTGAATTATTGAACTATTAAATTATTTATATTTTTTTTACGGGAAAAACTTAACTCATATCATTAATAATAACTTGATGAATACATATTGGAATGTCAATAAAAATATGGAAACTAGCGAGAGATGGAGTAACTCTTATCAAAACATGAGCAATTTCATTAGCTTGTCTCCTCAGGAACTTAATATGAGAGTTCACAAAATAACTATATAACAAGTGTTTACCCTCCTTGATAATATCGTCAAATTCTATAGTATACAGATGTTGGCCATTCATATTGTTCCCTATGCTTTTAGAGTCTATCTCAAAATCCACATCCTCCAATTGAAGTTCATAAATCCACTTAGTTGTTGCTAGAAGGCATAATACTTCTTCAATATCCACCTCGGTAATAGGTGGCACCCACTCTGTTCTGGCTAATACAAAATGTCCCTCTTCATCTTGCACACAGGTACATATTCCAATTTTATTATAAATAGAAGAAAAAGAAACATCTATGTTGCATTTCAGGCGACCTACTGATGGCTTGCTCCACGAGTTATTTAAGAAAGCTTCAATTTGAGTAGAGCGTATCAAATAGATTTGTTGAGCGTTTCTCCAACCCATAAACAAGTAAGAGGCTCAATCACATATCGTTTCTGCAGTATATTCAGTGTGATTCTAGATATAACTATTCCTACCCTTCTAAATGCACCAAATAATAACCGAAAGCAATGATTGTTAGTCTTGACTTAGAACTTGGAAAAGAGAGAAAACTATAGATGTGAAAGTAAAATTGGTTGTCGCCACATGATGAATTATATGCCACAACCCAACAAACTCCCAACACTTAATACTTTTAGAACAATTGAAGACAAGATGCTTATCATCTTCTACACCTTCTCTAAAATTATAATCGCTAAAACAACACTACTACAAAAAACCCATTTAATTTTGGAGTCGAAATGTATTTAACATTGGCTATAGAAGCGAGGTAACGAAGGGCGTCATGAAAAACTGTCACTTTATCCATCGGTTAATAAAAAACTCAGGGGTTAAGTTATCTACACACGGCTTCAAACGCCAACATCTGCATTTTTTTATTTATTTTCAAATCTAGTGCATCATACATCTTGATTTATCAATAAAACCGAGGGGTAAGATAGACTTTTTTTTTAAAATCTCGTTACATTGTTTATACAAAATATTAATAAATTAATTTGTTTACAAACTACATTATTTACCCAATATATTACATTGTTTACACATAATATTAAAATAAAAATTAATTTCCCTGAAGATCTGATTTTGAATCTTTGAATCATTAAATTTTAGGGAAGAAAAAATGTTGGATGCAAGATATTTTTTATTGCTTTTGTTTGTATTTATTTCTGAAATAAAACAAAAAAGGGTTAGATAAATAAATAATTTTCTACTAAAATAAATATTTAAGAATACAAATCTTAAACCTAAATAATTTTCTACTCTTACAATCCATCATAGAGATCTTTTCATGGCAAATACTCTTGAACATCTTAAAGTGGTGGATGTAGATAGTTTTAAGCACTTCATGATGTTTCATTATCAATTTTTAATATTCATAATACTTTTATAATGGAAGTTTTTATGTTTCACGCGAATCACTAATGATAGTGTCTTGAGCGTTGATACTCATGAAAAGAACAACAAAGATTTGTTTATGGAAGGTGATCAATAACCTCAATAATCACGCTAAATTATCCCCTTGGTTTTGACAAAAATCAAGGTAAAATCTGTTTACCCCTCATTTTTAGTAGAAAATCGAGGTAAATAAGTTTTTTTTAAACATTACATTATTTACACATAATATTAAAATACATTGATTACAACAAATTTAGATTCATCATTGCCACTGTTATTCTAGATTTTATTGCATGTCTTGAATCAAGAGTGAACTTCTAATATTTTCAAAGGTTGAACTTCTTTCTTTGTTTAACTTGAAACAAGAATGATTTTCTGCACTTACAATCTATCATAGAGAACTTTTCCAACATTCTTTAACATAAAGCAAAGATTTCATTATCTTGAGCAAACACTTTCACAAGAAAGAAAACAAAATATAGTGGTGATGTAATAGTTTGTCGTAGATTGATGACTTGGCAATATCCTAAACATTGTTCCTTTATGAATATAGGGTAGAGATTCATTGTTGTAACTGTGTAACAAGACCCATCAGTTTTGTTGAAAAACAGAGGGGGAAATTATTTTCTTATTTAATTAAAAAAATAAAGTAAAACATGAAAACCCACGAAGATCATCTGTAGATAATTGTATCTACAAGCACATATCTCCACATTTCCCCCTTTTTGATCATGACAGCGCATATCTTAGGAAGGTAGACAAATAAATATACAAAGATAAAGGCATGGAGTGGTTAAACTCCGCTGACAAATATAAAGAGTATACTCTACTCCCTCTGAGAGTATACTTCTCCCACTTTAGTATAATAAAAAAGGCAAGAAATAACATAACGCAAGCACACATATCATATATAAAGCATAGAGAAAGTGAAAAAGAAGAAGAAGGAGAAGAGACATCTAAAAAATATTAATCCAATTAAGTTCTTATGGAAAAGAAATTTTCTTTAGGAAAAGGTTTAGTAAAAATATATGCAAGTTGATTAAATGAATACACGTGCTCAATTACACAATCCACTTTTTCGACATGATCTCTTATGAAATGGTGCATAACCTCAATGTGCTTAGTCCAAGAGTGAAGTATCATATTTTTCTTGAGGCTTATGGCGCTAGTATTGTCGCATTTTATTAGGAAAATTCCTATATTAAATTTGTAATCACTTAGTTGATATTTCATCTAGATAATTTCACACAACATCCACACGCAAAAAAGTATTTTGCCTTAGTTGTGGATAATGTTACACTTGCTTATTTCTTGATATGTCGAGAAACAAACGAGTTACGGAGTAAATGACACGCACCACTGGTACTTTTCTGATCTAATTTACACCATCAAAATTAGAGTCAGAGTACCAAACTAAGATATAATCCATTACTTTGGGTACCATAAACCCATTAGTGGAGGCGTTACAAAAGAGATAATC